GTACAGTTCTCCAGAGCCGGTGCTAATGTTGTGGTCACCGGTAGACGAGCCGATAGAGTGTCAGCAGTGGCCAAAGAGTGTCTCAAAGTATCGCCGAAACAGTCGAAAGCACTGGAAGTGGTGGCGGATGTGACTAAACCGGAAGACTTGCGACGACTTGTTGACACAACTGTCAAACACTTTGGAAAACTCGATGTTTTGGTCAATAACGCCGGCGCCGGTATTACCGCTAGCATCAGTGATAAGGATTTTTACGATAAATTTCAAAAAGCTATGCAAATAAATCTCAATTCTGTGGTCTATTTAACGCATATATGTGTCGAGCATTTGGAGAAAACAAAGGGAAATATAGTCAACATTTCAAGTGTCGCCGGTATGAGAGCTGTAAGTGTACCGCAAAAAAGTTCAAAATTCAAAACAATTTCTAAAACTGTGAATTCATTAACAGATGACGGCTTTTAGTCCCTATAGTGTGGCGAAGTGTGCTCTGGATATGTTCACCAAATGTATGGCCGCGGAGTTGGGACCCAAACGTATCCGCGTTAATGTCATCAAGTAATTCTTATTTTTTACATTATTGTCAAATAATAACAAACAAAACATAATACAAATATTTAATATATTATTTTTGCTTACAAATAGTCCTGGTCCAATTCGCACTGAATTTGGGATAGCAATGGGAATACCACAGGAAGTCTCGGATAAATTATTGGACGCTTATAAAAATCTGACCATGGTAGGTCGGGTAGGTGTGTCCGAGGACGTGGGCGACTCCATACTATACCTGGCCAGTGACCATGCTGCATTTGTAACTGGCACCAATCTGATCGTGGATGGGGGTGTTCTTGCGGCTAATAATATGAATTCAAATGCTCTTAAAGACTTGATGTAAACGTTTTACATATTAATTATCAAGCATCTCTACATATACAAGTATCTATTAAATTAGAATATTTTTGTATTAAATTATACAATTGTACTGTTATTATAAAATATTACAATATTCGTATTTTAATAAAATATGTTTTAATTGACAAAATATACTTTTATAATTTCACTTCAAATGTTTGAGTGTTTAAGTAAATATGTGTTTACTTATCAAAAGCATAAATTATAAAATTATAAATATAAACTAAATATTATAAACTTGATACTTCATAATAAACTTCAAGGCAGATTTGACAGTATTTGGCCGGTCAGGATTGTCCACTGACATCGCTGATTCAATCCTATACCTGGCCAGTGACCATGCTGCTTTTGTCACGGGCACTAACCTGGTGTCAGATGGGGGACAGACCGCCGCTAATGCTCTGAATGCTGACATTCTTAAGGATGTGCTCTAAACCTATTTGTCAGTACAAATAAGTTTGATTATTCAAATACTATAATCATCTGAATTTAAACATTCAATTGAGTTATATTTTATAAAATTATAAAATACTTTTTATTGAACCTCTTTACAAAATAGTGTTTTGAATATATAATTTTAAGAAGTTTTATCAAAATAATAATATACAAAATCATTTCAAAATTTATAATTTTCTCTAATTTAATTTAATTTAAATATATAAGTATTATGATATATAACATTATTGTTTAATTATATTAATGTACTGTACTCTTTATAATAAAATATTATAATCTTAATATTAATCACAATATAATTATAAATTATTTATTACATATACTGTATTATGTATGTTTAATACTGTATATGCTTTCAGTTTTGACATTGACATTTAAACTATAGTTACTAATAGTAACTTACTATATACCGATACTACCCTGTTATATTATAGTACAAGTAGATCATATTGTTTTAAATTAAAATATTTTTATGTTATGATAAGTTATCATTGATTTCTGCAAAAAGTATGCAATACTTTGTCTTTCTATGGGTTTACGCGTGAATATATACTAAATTATAACTCATACAGGTACAGAGCTTACTTTAACTTTCTACTGCACATATCATAGCAAATATGACCTTGACAACTCCGTATGCACTATTGAATAATATCAACTTATTTATTACACTTTAATTCAGATAATATTTTCATAAAAGGTTTGATAAATAAAAACCTTGGCAAGTTCATTTAAGTGTGTATATAAACACAGATCTGAACTAGTAAATGTCACAAATACTTCAATACTATATTAAATATTTTGTATTTTAGTTATATTACTAGTTGTCTACTTGTTTCAAATGTCTCTTACATTCAACTTCAGCGGTAAAGTAGTGCTGATCACAGGTTCGAGTTCAGGTATCGGTGCCGCCACTGCCGTACAGTTCTCCAGAGCCGGTGCTAATGTTGTGGTCACCGGTAGACGAGCCGATAAAGTGTCAGAAGTGGCCAAAGAGTGTCTCAAAGTATCACCGA